TCGCCGGTCGGTTCAGCATAAAATGCCTTCTAACCTGCATCACCCTCTTCTGCAACTTCAAGAACTCTGAGTGTGGAACGGCTTTCAGGATCGTCTTAATCTCCGGTATTCTCTTGGGCGGGATTTCAACCGTAAACTTACTCCAATCAAGAACATCAGCGAAGGGCAATGAATAGTAATCGGAAATGAGGACAGGGACGCACCCTGCATACATGGCCTCAACCACTCTAGGGCTAGCAACTTCGGAGCCACTGGGACACAAACAAAACTTGGTCCGTCCCATAATCTCGTGGTAATTTTGGCCCTTTGGAAGGTACTCATGGACTTGGATTTCATCATCTTTGTCCCTCCAATGCTCAAACAAGAACTTCCTTATGTCTCCATGAGCACCACCGGCGAAGAAGGCTAGGATAGGACGCTTATCGGGGTGTTGGTCAAGGAGCGATGGACCAAGAGTGTGCTCCGGTATATTGTATTCCGGTAACGAGACGTCTCTCTTGGGCTGGAACCCTTCTGAGGTATTGGAATTGCATAGTACTCTTATAAAATTCTTGTAGAAGTCACGGTCGTCGTCTATAATTTCCGGTGCCTGCAAGAACAAAGAAAGATGGATATCAAAACAGAATGGTATGGATCTCCATGCGTAGAAAACCGAAGGGAATGAACAGATGATGGCTGGTGCCCTGTTTTTCTTTCCTGACAAAACCAAATGTAACAAGACATTCCTCGGTACATGCAAATCATAGTATGACACATGCAATTCACGCTTATTGGGCTGTGATTTGTCTGCAACGACGAATGCCACGTTCTTTTCTTTCCAAATTGGCTCAAAGAAGATACGGTACCCAATCATGACAAGAGAGCATGAAATGGTCAGCTCCACTGCTCCTATTCCAGTAGGGGTATTTCTGGGCAACCACATTGATGTAATCGGTGACGATTCGAACCAGTCGACCGTGAAATGTGTAGGGGTTAGGCCGGTCGTACAAGAAATCAGCTATCCTCTTCACACTCACAGGGACAAAGAAGGAATGGGCCTCGTCGTGATGTCGGGCCAAAAATGGGCTTTTGCCACTACTGTCCAGCTCATCGATGAAATGGCCTTCGATAGAGTAGATGTAGGACATAGGCCCATTGTGAAACATGGGTATCTCCCCTTCCTTGTAGGCCCATATCTTGAATCTTTTCACCATCTCTATGTGACTCCTGCTCATCCAAAATTATCCAAATTAAATTACTTTTGCATATATTTCAGACTGTAAATTGCAGCAAAGAAAAACGAATCTCACATATAAAAATTAATGAGATTTCTTTTACCTGGAAAATAAAGTAGTACACGACATGTTATAACATGAATGCATGACATGGTCAATAATTACTACTAAAATATATTTTCAACGTTCCTCTACTTTTATGATGACACAAAATGTAATGCACTGTGTTCCACATATATTAAAAAATCTATCGAAATCACCGCGTTAATTAATTACATTTATTGTTAACTCTTTTGAAAGAAAATCTAACCCTAGTGTAAATGAACGTAGATTATGACTAGAAATCCTACCATACAACCGGAGATATATCCAATCCCGAAAATATTTCATTGAAAAAGTATCAATGGCTGCGCAAGATAAAGCCAAAGAGCGCCACAATTATTTTGGGATGGAAGTAGTCACCCATACGCCACCGAAACAAACAAGAACCAAAACAAGTATTTTGTATATGGACCGACCCCAATAATTACAAATTAAAATATTATTAAGAATAATGGGAAGATAATACAGTCTAGGAAAAATGAAAGGGATTGCTTTGTTTGGAAGAAAAGAACTGGCATCAAAATTAGCCATAAACAAATCTGCTTTATTGTGGCATCAAAACCAATTAGACAAAAAGGTATATTATTCAAAACGCTACCATAAATAAATTAATTAATAAATTATTCATATGCTCACACGTTACATCGTATTAATTAAATTTGCCTAGTATTTGTTATAAAATATTTATATCACTTTCCTTAAGAGAAACTTTATTTTATTTTATATATATATATAAAACAAAACAAAATTGGGATTGGAACTTGGAACTTGGAAGAAGGGGAGAGGGTTGCCCTGGGAGAGTGGGAGATGTGGGTTAAAAAAACCTTCTTAAATTTTATTTAATTTTTAAATGAATGTGTTAGAATTAATTGGCTGTGAGGTTTGTATAAAAAACAGTAAAATTTATATTATATGCAATTACTAAATTATCTATCATTTTATTCTTATTCAGGATCATGAGACGGTTAGAATAGTAATTTTCTAAAATTTTGGTGGAGAAACAGATTTATACTAATAAGTAGCTTTAGTATCCAAATGCAGAAGAAAAAGAAACTTATAAATAATAATTAAATAAAACTTACTGGTGAAAAGCATAGGGATTTCTGTAGATACTTCCTCTGGGGATGTAAATTTCTTGTCTGTCAGATGTGTAGTTTTTGGTACGAATGGCTTCGCGGATGGCGGCTCTGGCTCTCGCCAACTCCTCTTCAATCTTGCTGCTTGTGCTGCTCTTTTCCTGCTGAATAAAATTATGGGCGCAAAAAATGCAGAACCTAAGAAAGGGAAAGAAGTATACAAGAAAAAAAAAAACACCTCCAATGAAAAAAAAAAAAACCAGAAATAAAGAAAAATTGAAACTTTATCCGTGCAATTTTATAACAAGAAAATGTAAAGGTGGTTACTTGGAGATTGTCTGCAACAGTGGAAGGAGAGGGAGAGGGAGAGGGTGCAGGATTCAGAGTGGCATATTGATATGAGGCTGTGTGATTTCTGATTTGGAGAGGGGCAGATGGGGAAGAATGAGGATTTAAGGGGGTGAAATGGAATTGGTTGAAGGGGGAGAAGGAGAGGAGGAGAAGGAGGAGGAGGAGGAGAAAAGTTAGAGAGAAAAAGTAGGGTGACCGGAATTCAAAGGCTGCCATGCTCTACTACCCTCATAGTAAAACTGCACAACCAAGAAGCGTTTTTCTTATTTTTGTTGAGCGAATCAACGAGTCTCTCTCTCCCAATTCCCCTCCCTCTCTTATTCTGCCAAGTTATCGCACACCGTTTTTCCTTTTTCCTTTTTCCTATTACATCACACATAAACACCTCGTTTTAAAAAAAAAAAAAAAAAATTATTTTTATGACAAAGGATAGAAATGTATTAATAATCAAATACAAATGGAAATATTTGCATCTTCTGCTATAACATTAAACAAAAATTCAGGTCTTAATTCATTCCAACCAAAGCTTCTGTCATGTTTAAGAACGTACGGTGCCACCATATGGCTGCACGATTGCATTGTCGAGGGGTAAAGATAAACTTCACCGATTAGAATGACTGCATCATATTCCAAATATCAACTAAATAGACCTTCATCAACACATAAACACCTCGTTACTTGGACAAAATGTCAAAGGTTCATCGGTTGATATTTCGTGCCAATAAATATGTAGAAAGAAAAATAACATGTCTTTGTATTATTAGCAAGGAATGCTAATTGAAGATGAACTCATGTTATATAAGTCATTCTCTAATTCTAATCTCTTGGAAAGTTTGAGCATCTTTATTGAAGAAATACACATTTGAGGTCTCAGTCAAATTTCCATTCTTGATGAGCGCGAAGTAAATTTGAGATCCCAGTTAAATTCCTTTCTTGGTAGGAGTTAGGTAAATTTGAGATCTCTGTTAAATTTCCTTCTTTGATTGGCGAGATCAATCACCAACAAAATGTAAATTTAAATTTTTATTTACATCTTTCGTTCAAAAATGAATATTTTACATCTCTCTATTAACGTGGAATACATATTTCAAGTGGCCCCACTCAAGTTTCATTCGGTGAGACGAAAAAATGATCGACTCCACCGCTCCCATTCCAATAAGGTTATTTGTTTGCTACAAACTGGTCAGTGAAGATTCCATCCGGTCGATGAAAAAAAGGTCTGGCGGTGAGATTTTTGCTGGAAGTCAGTGATGTTGGACACGCTCAACGCAAGAAGAATGCATGCATGGCCCTCATCAGGATGCTGCATTGCATCTCAAATATAAACTGCCAATTTATGGAGTAGATGGTGGTGGTGGGACAGTGGGACAATTGTGGGTCAATGGTAAATTTCCTGTATGTGACTCCTATTTTAACAAGGTTCTAAAAATCGCTAGGCGCTAGTCGGGCGGCTGGTTGAGGCCTAGCGCCTAGGCGGCTAGGCGGGGCCTAGGCGGACTAGGCAGATTTAAGTAAATCTATCATATTTTATGTAAATAAGTGTCTGCTTTTACTTGAAATATATATAATTTCATCATAAACTACAAAATACAATGCATATATATCATGAAGTATTGGAACATAATGAAAACATGTGAAATAAGGATATAATGTTTGTTCATTCAAGTATGCAACAAGTCTCTTACAATTTATTGGAAAAAAACAAAATGCAAAATGAAAGTTATGTATTTTCTGTCTAAGTGAGTTGCAACCTAGGCGGGTCTAGGCGGGTGCCTAGGCGGGTTAGGCGGGTGCCTAGGCGGGCTAGGCGGGTGCCTAGGTGGTCTAGGCGGTGGGCTGGGGCCTAGGCATTAATCGGGGCGGTGGGCTATGGCCTAGCGCCTAGGCAGAGATTTTTAGAACAGTGATTTTAACCCAAGGTAACATCACATATTTAGTTGGTAAACAACCACACCTAGGGTTTAGGGTTAAACATCACATATTTATAAGGCAAAAGGAAAAATCTTACAAAACCATTAATTTTATTTTTGGTTAAATTGGATGGTATTCATTCTAAATCTTCTTAGCCATAGGTTATTACGGCTGTGCTCGATTAGTTTTTATCATCGTTGTGGTGTTTCAATTAAATCCATTGACCATGAGGCTCCTGCCTACTAGATGCAGGAGCAAGAGCTAAATTGGACGATAAAATAGAAGGACGAATCTAATTTGGAATCGTATGTATGGTCTACAGCATTCGACTTTTGAGTGCATCATAGTGAGTTTAATAAAATATCGTATATATTTGAAGATTCTGTACTTAGTAATGAATCCAGCATATATAGTGAGTTTTGTCTCACGCTAAAAAAAAAATTGATCATAAACTTTACAAGATGCCGAGATGCTCAAAACCGATTTGGTAACCGAATGTTGAGCCTTTTAAGCCACACCGAGTGGAGCACCATGTGAAATACGTCGTAGGGCTTAGCTGGTCGGTTGAGCTCAAAATGCCTTCTTACTTGCATCACCCTCTTCTGCAATTTCAAGTACTTTGAGTATGGAACAACTTTCAGTATTGTCTTGATTTCTGATATTCTCTTGGGCGGAATTTGTATCGAAAACTTACTCCAATCAAGAACATCATCAAATGGTACGGCATAGTAGTCGGAAATCAACACCGGGACACACCCTGCATACATTGCCTCCACAACTTTAGGACTTGCTACTTCAGACCCACTTGGGCACAAGCAGAACTTGGTTTGTCCCATTAGTTTGTGGTAGTTCAGGTCCTTAGGGAGCTTTTCGTAAACTCGAACTTCATCATCTTTTTCCTTCCAATGCTCAAACAAAATGCTCCTGATGTCTCCATGAGCAGCACCGGCAAAGAAGGCAAGGAGTGGACGCTTATCTGGGGGTTCTCCGAAACGGGGCGGCCCAAGGTCAAAGGCTTTTAGGTTATATTCCGGCAATGAGACGTCTCTGGTAGGCTTGAATCCTTCAGAGGTGTTTGCGTTGCATAACACCTTAATGAGATTCTTATAGGGTCTCGGGTCATCGCGTGAGATAATTGGTGCCTGAAAAATCAAATACATAATAGTTGAGCAACGATATATATATTTTTATATGCAATTTAACAATCAATGTTATTTCATGATAATTATGATACGATGATTCAATCATGTGCCAATCGAGCTCAAAGCCTGCTAACTTTAGTTGTGCTACAAAACCAACGAGTTACTAGGACCAACAATCAACCAAGTTATCTCAAAGTGCATGAATGTTCTTTTGCTAACTGGCTTGAAAACGGACAAGTGATCCTCTCTGGATCTCACTATTCGAAGCCTAGAGCCAAGCAATCGGAACCACTCAAATTGAATTTGAATCTCTATTAACTCATTCGACGGTCATCTCACACAAACTAAGAGTCTCAATCTCTCTTCCACACAATTCAAAGACCTGGATTTCCTAGTCCGGAGAGATTCCATATTCCTTGGCAACCACCTAAACTAACAAATTGTCCAAGTAAGAAAACCAACTAATCTAAATTCAAAGGGAACTTTAACGAAAAGCACCAAGTACTGTTCACTTTAACGAAAAACCACATTTTTACACTAAAAAGTCAATCTTGGTACTATTCACTTTACCCTTTATTTTGTCCTTATCATTAAAACTCAAAGTTTTCAAGCCCTTTTCATTAGTTTTCCTAAATTCAAATGGTTGATTTGTCCTTGCAAATCGTTGATAATAATAAATATTAAAGCAAATCAAATGATTGATGAGGAATGAATAGTAGCTTACCCAATCATGGCACGAGACAAAGAAATGATCGGCCCCACCACTTCTATTCCAGTAGGGGTATTTATCCGCTACAACAAAAATGTAGTCTGTAAAAGTACGATCCAGCCGATGGAAGAATGTCTCATGGTGAGGCCTGTATAGGAAGTCGGTAATCTTGGACACACTCATTGGCAGGAAGAATGCGTGGGCCTCATCAGGATGTTGGGCCACAAATGGGCTTGGCCCACTTTCCACCTCGAATATAAACTGCCCTTCTATGGAGTAGATGTATGTGGTGGGCCCATTGTGAACCATTGGTAAATCTCCTTCCTTGTAACTCCATATCTTGAACCTCTTCATCATCTCTACGTGACTCCTAATGTATTCCAAAATAATAACATAACAAATTAAATTAGTACGCAACCACACCACTAAGTTTTTGTAAATTCATATTAACGACTCGTTTGGAACTGCTTTTAAAATGGCTGAAAGAGTTTTTTGTAAAAATGTTTTTGGAACAATCTTTAGTAAAAATGCAAATGAATTATGGAAAAACACTTTAAGTGTTTTTGAGACCCAAAAACATTTTTTTCTAAATGCATTTTCAGTCATTTTAAAAGCACTTCCAAATGATCCCAAAATTAGTGGCATCACTTGACCAAATTTGAAAAATAACAAGGTTTCAATCAATGAAATAGAAAAATGAGAGATGTGAACCTAATTTCTCCATAAATTCACCTACACTTCAAATTAGGGTTATAAAATATGAATATTTAGTAGGATCTCACTTTGACACGCAATTATCTTAAACTAATTACTTATCGACATACGTCTAATTTTTTCACGTGACAATACATGATTAACTTAAGATGCGTCACAATAACATCGCACGTGTTAGATAATTGCGTCAAATTATATACATTTGATCAAATCATACAAAAAATTTGCTTGATGGAATTAATTAAGTAAAAATGGTAAAGACAAAAACATAATTTTTGTGTTCAAATGTAATATGCCATATGATGACACACATCTTGAAGAAACGGCCAAGGCTAAAAACATAGGTCGAATGGGATATAGTACCAGCACCACCCAAGAGGAAGCCCACAAGCACATATAAATACAACATAAGCAATAATGCCATTTGTTAGGAAAAACGTGGAGCGCTCCGGAAAGGGACTTGTTTGGTTCTAACTTCTTACTTGTAAAGAATCAGTGGCCTAACAAAACCACCCATTGGAATTATATTAACACATAACTGAATATGGTAGCTGATGGATCATGGATTTGTTACGCTTAGACATATTCGTGTTGATGTCATTTTTCGGTTACATTGTAAAAATTCGTTAATGATCTTATCTAAACTATCTATTAAAAAACTAATACACTAGTGGATAAGGTGTTGGGTTTTTACACATACGTCCGGGTTCCGAATTCTCTATCTCCTAAATTATTGTAATAATTTTGAACTCTCCCGCTGCCCCTAATAATAGGGGTTTAGGAAAAAAAAAAAACTCTTCGTTAACAAAAAAAAGGTGAAAAATATCAAATTAATCATGTCAACAAAACTAAAGAAAAATAACCAAAATAAAATTCATGAGCAATATAGTAAACTAAACACAAATAATTTTACTGTTTTTTTTCTTCAGAGCTTCACATCCAGGTAACCATGTTGGTTACTCCAATTTTCTATTTCACATTTTTCTCATAATGAAATAAACCTTTAGTGACGAGGAATAATTATTCATAAATAGTCTCTAAAGATATGAACAACCTCTTTAGTGACAAAAAATCATTTGAAAGTTGTCACAAATTTTTTTTTGGAAACCATTGTATATTTCTTTTTGTAAATTTTATTTTCCTACTTTTAAAAAACATATACATAGTATGTGGACAATTGCTAATATGTAATTAATTTCTTGTTTTTAATTAAAGAAAAGCATTTGGCATTATATGGAATTATTATATTATATCTGCAAAATAATTAGGCTAAGTGCATGTCACCCAATCGTTAATCACTCAATGCTGATTAACAAAGGAATAAAACCTAAAATATAGAATTGAATTTTTTTTATATAGAGAAATGAGATTAAAAATAAAATAAAAAATGGACTTAACTGATGAAAGGCATATGGATTTCTGTAGACACTTCCTCTGGGGATGTAAATCTCCTTCCGGTCGGAGGTGACATTCTTTGTGAGAATAGCTTTGCGGATTATCGCTCTTGCTATCCCCAACTCCTCTTCAATCCTCTCCGTTTTGCTCTTCTTCTTCTGGATTTAAACACAAATTAAAATTTACCCATATAATTTTTTTATAAACAAAAAATAATAATAAAGCAGTAAAAAAAAAATGGAAGCTTACGTACTTTGGTAGTAGCGTGACTGAGTTTGGAGGCGGTGGAAGTTGAGGAAGGCGCATGGCGGCGGCGTAGCTCGAGCGGTGGCTGGGATGTTGGGGATGGGGATGGGGAAGGTGCAGGTGCAGGTGCAACAGCATGCAAAGCTGTGGTGTTGAAATTGCGGGTGGTTTGGTGTTGGAAGTTAGACGGGGAGGAGGAGGAGGTGGGAGAAGAAGAGAAATTGAGAGAGAGATGGTGTCGTTGGTTCAAGGGAGAGAAGAAGATGGCCACGACAAGGAGGAGGAGAAGAGTTACAGAGAGTAGATATGGAGAGCGAAAATCCAGGGCTTCTGCCATTTGATAGCTCCAACCCACCTCCTTAATTTATTTAAGACCAGCTAATAATACATATATATGTGTATTATTTAAGGTAAGGTAAATGGCCAAATATTAACAAAACAAGGCTTCTGTTCGGTTTTGTGTTTGGTCACCGCAGGAATATTGAATAACCTTTTGTTTTGTTTTTCAGCTAGCGTGTTGCTTTTGTAACGGTTAAAGTGTTTTAAAATAATAAAAAGCATTCTGCATCGTTTGAAAATGAAAAAGAAATCTTGAAAATTGGTTCTGAATGATGAAAGTGCTCGAAGTTTTTATAAGTATTTCGACATATTGATAAATGATATTATTTTTTGCTCTTATTTTCTCCTCATACATTTGTGTATTTGTTTTCATTCATGCATTTTTATTAATTTTTTAAATCACATGACCATAAATAAGAAGAATGCAAAGTGCAAACAGATAAAAAATAATTGTGAAAATGATTAAAAATTCTATAATTACTTAATTATTTATACGATCTCAAGACGTTTGCTGAAAACTGAAAAGAATAAAATGAATAAAGGTCTCCTAGGGCTAGGGGTTGCGTCTCATCGAGACAAAATTGGTCAAAATCAAATCATAAAATAAGGGGAACAAACAATATTCAAATCGTCTTAGCATATATTTCTGTGTTTCTTAATTTATTCAATTTATCTCCAATATAATAAAGAGATTTTTTTTTTAAATTCCTTATGAATATATATACACATCATTTTTGTTTGTCATATAGATTAATGAGTAAACTTACTTTTGCGGGTAACACAAGGCCGAAGATGAATGTGAAGAATATTGAAACTGTTCTCAAACTATCGCAGGAATTTTGATCCAACCGCCCATAATTTGGTAAGAACAAAATGAAAAATAATGAAATTCCAAACAAACCCTTAAATACTATGCATGACCTCAAGACTGAAAAGAATAAAATTCATAAAGAAAGCTAGGGACAAGGTCCTCTTCAGATCAATTATCTGCTGATGCTTGGGGACCAACTAATCTAGCCGTTGGTTTTAGATGTTGTAGTTAAGAACCATGTTTTAATTCTCTTTACCTTTTTTTTTTCTTCCTTGCCCATCCTGTTGTTCTTCGTCTTTCTGATGTTCTTCCTTGCCTATATTTTCTGTACTTTTTCTTCCCTGCCCATTTCTGCAGTTCATTGCCCATTTCTTCTTGTTCGTCGTCTATCTGTTATTCTCCTTCGTATTATATGTTTTTAAGGGAAGATTGTTATGAGTTACCTCTAATAAACGTCGAGTTTCCTCTTCATAGTACTTTGCCAGGTACAAATGAAAAACAAAAAATAAAACTAGATGCTAATCCTTGAAAAGGATTTAGTTTAGACAAATACCATTTGCAAGATTAACAATTGAATTAAGTCCCTGACCAACATCAACCTACATAATTCCACATTAGTTGTCATTTATTTCTTTGTTATTCTTCCAATTATACCCTTTTGTCAATGTTTGTAATGAAGACCTTTTTTTTTTTGTTAACAATCATAGTACGTCATTTATTATAGCTTATTTTTAGGATGTATATGATATTTTGTAGTAGTTTTTCTTTATTCTCGTTCAAATTTCAAACTGATTTTAGTTCATATTAGAAATTAGTAATTCACTTTCTAAAATTAAGAGGGCTATGTATATAGTATATTGTAATGGCATCACCTTTTTTTTTTTTTTTTTTATTTTTTTTATCATGGGACCTAAGGTATGAATATTTAGGTGCATTCGACTAGATATTGTGATTTAGGTGTATTGTGGTAGGTACCATGGTTTAGGTGCATTGTGATAGGTATCATGGTTTATGTGCATTTGACTTGGTACTATGATTTACGTGCATTCGACAAGGTACTATGATTTAAGCACATTAGGACATGGTTTAAGTGCATTCGATTATGTATAATATATGATTTAGGTATTTTTATTTCCTCTATGCTTTGGATGGTGATAATGAATAATTTGAATTAGGTACTTGTTTAATTCTTGTAACGTATCCCTAATCTTTTTTTGGACGTCTAGATGAGGTATGTTTATAGTTTGAGAAAGTCAAACAATGTCAATGCCAAAAAATATAGAGCAAAATAAAACCAAATATTTAATATGGGTGTTATGGGAACCAAAAAAACACATTAAATATTTTAAAACAAGAAAATATGAACTTTAATATTTATGATGACATGAAAATTTAGTCAAAGGACTATAATGAATATATAATCTAACATAAGGTTTTAATTGAATTTCAATCTTTATCGAGGATTAAAATGGAGAAACCCCAAAACAAAAACCAACATTGACTCTAAACAATAGTTGTTGCTTAAGGATCTGAATTTGATCTGTAAGTCATAGTCATCACAAAGGCTCTTCTCGATAGAGCAACAGATCGAGTACAATCATGAAAAATCTTCTTGCCGCAACAAAAAAGCGACCACAAACGAAAAAGATATATAGAAGGAAAAAATCAAGAGAAATTGCCGCCGACCCCAAGACTAATGGCCAAGGTCAACGGTGGAGTGAGTTTTCCTGTAAGTTTTATCTCTAGATATTGGCTAGATAATAATGATGTTGGGTGTGTGGATAACACCCCCCAATTAACTTACCGCCCATTAACTTTCCGTGTTATTAACTTATTTGACCCTATAAGAAGAGTGTTTTTTACACTAATTTTCTATTTCTATAGTACTGTTATTCATGACTGATGACCGTTGAATTGAATAAACTAGAAGAATCATCGAACACGAATGAATAATTAACCGGTATAATCTGACCTGACATGACCCGATTTGAAAGCAGCACCACTTTTTTTAACCCTAATTCCTGGTATAAAAGGAAAGTAATAATTAACCCCATCTCATTTTTTTACCACATTTTTGTCGTTCGAGAAATTTTTCAGTGTGACCAAAACACAAAGTGATACACAACATGTCACTATACAAATTGTGGGGATATCTATGTTAACAAGTTAAGAACATAAAAATAAAAATAAGATTATGAACTTAGTAATTAATCCATCATATATAGTGAGTTTTGTCTCACGCTAAAAAAGAATTGATCAGAAACTTTACAAGATGCCAAGATGCTCAAAACTGATCTGGTAACCGAATGTTGAGCCTTCTAAGCCACACCGAGTGGAGCACCATGTGAAATACGTCGTAGGGCTTAGCTGGTCGGTTGAGCTCAAAATGCCTTCTTACTTGCATCACCCTCTTCTGCAATTTCAAGTACTTTGAGTATGGAACAACTTTCAGTATTGTCTTGATTTCTGATATTCTCTTGGGTGGAATTTGTATCGAAAACTTGCTCCAATCAAGAACATCATCAAATGGTACTGCATAGTAGTCGGAAATCAACACCGGGACACACCCTGCATACATTGCCTCCACAACTCTAGGACTTGCTACTTCAGACCCACTTGGGCACAAGCAGAACTTGGTTTGTCCCATTAGTTTGTGGTAGTTTAGGTCCTTAGGGAGCTTTTCGTAAACTCGAACTTCATCATCTTTTTCCTTCCAATGCTCAAACAAAATGCTCCTGATGTCTCCATGAGCAGCACCGGCAAAGAAGGCAAGGAGTGGACGCTTATCTGGGGGTTCTCCGAAGCGAGGCGGCCCAAGGTCAAAGGCTTTTAGGTTATATTCCGGCAATGAGACGTCTCTAGTAGGCTTGAATCCTTCCGAGGTGTTTGCGTTGCATAACACCTTAATGAGATTCTTATAGGGCCTCGGGTCATCACGTGAGATAATTGGTGCCTGAAAAATCAAATACATAATAGTTGAGCAACGATATATATATTTTTATATGCAATGACAATCAATGTTATTTCATGATAATTATTATATACTGATCCAATCATGTGTCAATCGAGCTCAAAGCCTGCTAACTTTAATTGTGCTACAAAACCAACGAGTTACTAGGACCGGCAATCAACCAAGTTCTCTCAAAGTGCATGAATGTTCTTTTGCTGACTGGCTTGAAAATGGACAAGAGATCCTCTTTGGATCTCACTATTCGAAGCCTAGAGACCAAGCGATCGGAACCATTCAAATTGAATTTGAATCTCTATTAACTTATTCGATGGTCACCTTACACAAACTAAGAGTTCCAATCTCTCTTCCACACAATTCAAAGACCCGGATTTCCTAGTCCGGAGAGATTCCATATTCCTTGGCAACAACCTAAACTAACAAATTGTCCAAGTAGGAAAACCAACTAATCTAAATTCAAATGGTTGATTTGTCCTTGCAAATCGTTGATAATAATAAATATTAAAGCAAATCAAATGATTGATGCTGAATGAATAGTAGCTTACCCAATCATGGCACGAGACAAAGAAATGATCGGCCCCACCACTTCTATTCCAGTAGGGGTATTTGTCCGCTACAACATAAATGTAGTCGGTAAAAGTACGATCCAGCCGATGGAAGAATGTCTCATGGTGAGGCCTGATTAGGAAGTCGGTAATCTTGGACACACTCAACGGCAGGAAGAATGCGTGGGCGTCGTCAGGTTGTTGGGCGACAAATGGGCTTGGCCCACTTTCCATCTCGAATATAAACTGCCCTTCTATGGAGTAGATGTATGTGGTGGGCCCATTGTGGACCATTGGTAAATCTCCTTCCTTGTAACTCCATATCTTGAACCTCTTCACCATCTCTACGTGACTCCTAATGTATTCCAAAATAATAACATAACAAATTAAATTAGTAAACAACCACACCACTAAGTTTTTGTAAATGCATATTAACAACTCGTTTGGAACTGCTTGTAATATCGTTGAAAGAATTTTTTGTAAAAATATTTTCGGAACCAATCTTTAGTAAGGATGCAAGTGAATCATGGAAAAGTACTTTAAGTGTTTTTGAAACATCTAAACATTTTTTCTAAAAGTGCTTTTAGTCATTTTAAAAGTATTTCCAAATAACCTCTAAATTAGTGGTATCACTAGACCAAAAATTGAAAAGGAATAAGGTATCAATCATTTAAATAGAAAAATGAGCGATAAAGAACCTAATTTCTCCATAAATTTACTTACA